ATGAAACAAAGCTCATTCTTAAACACACTACTTCCTGTTTTCAAATGGGCAAGCTCTCAGTCACCAAGTAAAGTTAATTTACAACTGTTTCAACTTCACACTCAAACTATACCAATTTCTGGATTCCTCTAGGGAAGTGAGAGAAGGAGAATGTTGGGTTCTTGGCAGAGACTTTCTATTTTCAGCCATTACTCAGAAACAGCAGCTTCTAGATAGAGTTAAGAAAGTTTCAGACCTCCTATCTTGAGAAAGCAGCAATGAATACTAGTTAAAAAGAGAATAAACCAAGAGCCATGAGGTTAACCTAATTTTCTCAGACTACAACAGAGAAAATTTTCATCCCAAAATGCTGTAGGGTACGTATTCCCACCTGTACTGCCTCACTTCTCACATCGAGCTACAAACCTATAGAAGCCAGGAAGTTTATCTGTACAGAGAAAGAAATAACGTAGAAAAAAAATATCTGCAGAAGTAATGGACCCACAAGCAACTGTTTTTTCAAGTAACCAGACTTCCAACAAACGCTTTTGCAGCTCCATTATTTTGCAGTAAGAGACATCTTCACATTTACAATCAGTAAAAAAAAAAAGAACACACTTCTCAAAGACACTGAAAGTTTTAAACTCTTAAAATCTACCTGGAAATCAGATACAAAGATCATATTACACATACCTGAAAATCGAGTAATACAATACAGAAACAGTTGCATTTATATGTGGAGAATAAACGTTACAATTAAATTATCTTGAGATAATAATAAATCTTGGGGAAGGAACAAACAAATACATGCTTCCATAGAAGATTTCAAACTGTGTTGTGGCAAGAAAAACACATTTATCTAAAATTACTGAGCTCCCAACAAGCAGATCTCCGAGGGTGTCCCTCTATAGGCATGTGTGAGGTTGACCTTGGGCTGTCTAATCATAAACTCCACTGCATGTGAAACCAAATCAGTTCCTTAAAAATGTCATCATGTAGTTTTTGTATTTTTATTTGTCAGCAATGGAAAAGAAAAAGGAAAATAAGCGTGTACACAAACAACACAGATGGGTGTTGACCTAGAAACAATTCCAACACAAATTACAGAAGACTCAACATGAAATTCTGAACATCACAAAGTAACCTCAGGAAAGATTAACCTCCCACTCCTCCATTCCAGGTTTGGTTGATTCAAATGACGCCACCTCAGCCAAGCGGCAACAGGAGACCTCCTTCCCGCTTGGGTGCTGCCAAGTGCAACCCAGGCCCCAGCCAGAGTTCTGCCCCACCGCTGACGTCAGGAACAAACCCACTTGACTTCCACTCTCGTCAGAAACTCACACCACAAAGCCCAGGACTAGTTTCGTTAACAGCTCATCAGAGATGGCAAACGTGAATCAGTCAGCATGGGCCTGGCGCAGGGACACTCCTTGCTGAAAGGCCAAGAGTGAACCCGCTTGAAAATGTGCCCGGTCAGTGCCCAATACCCCCTATGGAGGGTGCAGATTTCCAAGGGTTGTCAAGCCTGGAACCTCTTGGCAGTGTTCAATTCAAATGAAAAATTTTAATAAAGCAATTCAGGCTCACTTGACAGTATCAGAATTATAACAAATGCATCAATCCTACTGAGAGGGCGTGAAAAAACTATCTAGGTTTAAGAAACACAAAACAAGTTCTCTCTGCCAGTCTCCAAGATCTTTTAAGGTAACGTAATATAGTGATTAAAGCACATGAACTTCAAATTTTCTCATGTATTTTTAATTGGAAAGCCACTTCAGTTACACAAGTCTTCATTATTTCAAATTAATATCAACAGCTTACATCCTGAGCCTGAGAACAGATTTCATTTAAGTGGGATTACTCTCATACATTGTTTACTTGTGCAAATATTTGCAAGATTCAGCCCTGAAGTCGCTACACGATTTAGAACTATGTTCCTCATTTGCACATAAACTCATCTCTGAGCTCAGTAACGCGTTGGTCTGTCATGTGCCATCACGTTCTCTTAAGTTCTGCAAAAACACGTTTATACGTATTAATTCATAGGCAGGTGAGTATGTCAGGAAGAAGAGACGAAGAGCTGTTAGAAACCACAGCACCTGCACGGCAACTGAGGAAACGGAACGCGGCACAATCAGGCCTCGTTATCCTCAAGAGATAAATACGAACAGTAAACATTTAGGTGGTTTTCTACAGAATCATTTCTATCGATCAGGATCACTTTGCACCCCTAACACGTAAGGATCTAGAAGCGCTTACTAAAGGTGAGAGGGAGGGATGTCTTCTGTGTCAAGGGGGTCAAGTTTTCACCCTAAATACTGAGGTCTGGAAGAGATGAAGTGCACTACACTCAACGATCACTCTTGCTTACTTTCTGGAGAAAGTGAAGAGCTGTTTCAGAGCAAATTCTACACACCACTGAGGGCAAAGGAAAGCACGTCATCCAGTTGGAGCAGCCAGTGTAGTTTTTATAGCCAAAAAGAAGCCTGAGTTTTCGAAAAACACTACAGTTAATATCCATATTCTTTAAGCTTGTGTCAAAGGACCTGCTTTAAACACTGCCCAAGAGGTAGCACAAACTGCAGGAGGACAAAGACAGTCTCGGTACTGACCCGGGTCAGCACAGTCAAGTACAGAGGCAAAGCTCATGCCTCAGCTGTAAAAGAAGCATTTTGATAACTTCTGAATATTTCTCATCAAGTGCTGACTCCAAAAGACCTCTCATTAGCCTCAAAACAAAGACTGGAAAAGTAGGGAGCACAAATATACACACACATATGATTTGAGGAGTCTTCCTCTATTAATGTTACACTAGGCAGGGGATTAATAAGATAACATTCAAGACATACACCAGAAAAAAATCAGTGGACAAAAGTTAAACTGTTTATGTTAGACTACCACGTACAGAAGTTCTTTGTAAATGCTCATGAAGAACTGAGGAGCAAACACCTCTTGTTCAGTTTGTTTCTGCTAATCACTAAACACAACAGATACAAAGTATTTTCACTGAAAACTTTTTTCTATTTACATGTCCTGTAACTCAAAACTACCAGGCTGCAGTAACACTAGCAGCCCATACAACTAAAATCCATTGAAAAAAATAAATATACTTCCGTATCATCAGAAAGTTTGGAATGCACAGCCCTAAGATACTATACCAAGCAATTAGACTCCAAAGGTAGAATTAACTGAAAAGAGATGATGAGCATCTGTAGTTCAACTAGTCATGTGTAAAAGCCAGCCACCCTCATTTTTTCAGGCATGCCCACTGAAAAGCCTCTCTTCTAATTGGAGGTGTGCTGCTGCTGTTTCCTTTGACAGTTTTCAGACTAATACCCCTAGAGAGAAACACAGCACAAGGACAACAAGCGAAGGACAATTTACAGTCCACCTGGGATCTCCACTCAAGCTCAGGCTGCCCATGCAAGGCTGGAGAGGAGAAAAGCTGCTTCTCACTCACATTCACCACAATGCCCACGAACAGACCTCAGGAAACGGAAAGAAGACATGTTCCTTGTGCTCTGCCTTCCCACTTTGAGCTGTTCATCCGTGCGCAGGGTCCTTGGAAATTGGTGCCTTTTTACAGGACTTCAGTTTTCAAGTACAAGAGCACTTCAGCCCTGAAAGCCAGCCACTTGTTTTTGTGAATAAAGAAGTGAAATGACTAATAAACCGTAACATCCTCCACAGCGTCTTCGCTAACTTCCATGGTTTATATTCACTTCATGAAAACACATTCAACATGCCTGCTTCCTTTCCTTTGTTTCCCCTACTCTTCACGTAGAAGGAGACAGCTGAAAAGACGCACTAGGTCAGGATTTACTACTTCAAAGTATGATTCCTAACAAAAGCTGAAACTTGGCTTCTTGCACAAACTACATTATTTCTTGGGAGAGGCTGAAAACATACACAACCTGAAATGAATTTAAGAAATAGTAACAAGTTGTGTATGAGGGCAGAAGTGGCTCCGTTTTAGCAGACGTTACTTCCAACTGGCATTTCACTCCAACACTCGCCCTGATCTCACCCTCACATCACCACTGTGTCCATTTGCCTTCACTATTGCTGCAGAGGCCCACCTGCGTGACTCCTCACCACGCCGTGCGTGCCAAGATCCCCTCACCAGGGTCACTCCGGTCTGGTTGGGGAACAGAAGAGGACGGCTCCACCACACACCCCCCCTGCTTCCTACCTGCTGGCAGGAGGGGCTCAGGAGGGCACTGCTCACTGGGACACAGCGGCAGCAGCTGCCCTGGGAATCCCCCCTCCAAGAGCCCCGCGGTGCCGCAGAGGCGGCTGTGAGCGAGTGCGGCACCAGGCTGGAGCTCCAACGCGTCTTTATCCACCAAGTGCAGGGAAGCCCACGGGACCTCGAGCCCTGCAAAGCCACGAGCCGCTCGCACACAAGTTCTTGAGAGCTGAGCGCAAGAGGCAAGAGGGAGAAGGTCTGCGAGGTAAGGACTCCGACTCTTCAGGAACGGGGCTGTATGAAGTTTATTGCTCAAAGCACTTTTAATCCTCTGATGAAATGTGCTATCTGAGTGCAAAGTACTATTGTTAAGTCAAAGATTTTTTTTTTCTCTTTTATAAAATACTTAGGAATTTCTCAGCATTTCCCTGTTTACCTAATAGATTAGTTCTTTATAAAAATAAACATTGGAAGGACAAAAGGGACAGTTCCCCTAAAATTTAGTAAACAAGTTTCATGTTTCCACGCTAAAATCTGCAGTATCTTTCAGAAAAAAAATATCAAAACACCTAAGAGAAACTGAGGGTGCAGAGTTGCTTACAACTCATCTATTTTATTCCTATGGCTAGGATATCACCAGAACACCTAAATTTCACGTTTTTTTCTGCAAGGCCATAGCGTCAGAAACAGTATTTGATAAAGACTTGGTGAAGAACAGTTTCCTAGTAGTCAACAATGACCCTTACAATAAATTCAATGGGGAAATACTTATGGTTCTTCTCTTTGATTTTTTTTCCTTAAATGAGGTACCAGCTATGTTTTGTCCCTCCCATTTCTATGGTATTTCCAGTTTCACGTATTTAGACCAATGAGACTTTCCAGAAGCTGGTGTACAACATCTTTATATACACTACAAATTCAGATTACCAGACTATAATCAGACATTGAATATATAAATAACTTTTCAAACTATTTACAGGATTTAAACTAATCAGGCTCCAAGCAACCAACACTCTTAAGGCAAATTCACTTGTGACTGGCTGTCTGGCCTTTCTCTCCCCTCCCTGGCCCCCCAAAATGATGGCAATAAACATGAAATGGAATTACTCCCTGCTCCTGTACTGATGGAATTTCTTGTATGGAGAGCTGATCTAACTACCTAGGATCTTTCCTCAAAACAAGGAGAAAATATATAGAAAAGCATTTCTGTGTTTGCGTGTCAAGAAAATCATTAAGGTGCATATGAAGAAGTGGAAGTCCCAATGTCTTATAACAACATAATTTTTGTATGCACTTGACAAACGGATTTGGGAATTTGGGGAAAGCATCATGTTAAAGCTGCACAACCCTTTTTAGAACTACACATGTAACGAGCTCATTAGGTAAGATCTGCAGAGCTCCAAGGGGTTTTCTGTAACAGGTGACACTGTGCAACATAAAATGCAGCAAAGGGTGGATTTTCAAAGTGTGTGTTTAACTAATGAGAATTTTTCTCTTATACCATATTGCTGTGCAAGATACTATTCACCACGTCAAGGGATTCCGCACATCTTGCCAATCCTCAGATCGGAATACAAATCGGCCACTTCAGAGAGCATCTTTTTGTTACAACGTTGGATTCTTAAGTGTAACCACAGTGCAATTTTGTCAATGCATGACTGAAGCAACCAAGCATACTCTGGTGAAGTAGGCAGGGCTCACATACCAAACGTGCTTAGTGCCCTCGTTTAAGTCCCAATTATCACTTTGTTCTTAGTATTTTTCAATGCCCTGATTAGATCTTTGTTTGGAAGTAATTAGCTATTGTGGTTTGAAGGATTTTTTGGAACAAAGCAGAGACTTTATACTGAATGCAGAGGTCATCTCCAACAGAGACAAAAAAAAAAGGTGGCAAACTATCGATTAGCTTTATATTTAGAAGCATCCCTGGGTTCACTGCTAGGATTGCTCCAGTCATCTGCTTCAGGTGTGGTCTTGTAGTGTCGCCAGGCTGACTTATTAAAAACAGGAAGTCTTTCAAATGATTCACTTGAAAGGGCCTATGGAAAAACAAAAGCAATGGGAAGATACCATTAGAGACACCGAGACGACGTTCCAGGAAGCTCAACAGCTACAACCTCTGCATCCAACAAGTGTCTCGATTATCCAAGTGTTAGGTGTCACAGCACTGTTCTGAAAATACTTCAACTGTGACCAATGCCTCCAGTCACAGTCAAAGTATTATTCACAGTAAAAGTTAAAGAAAAATAACACTTTAAAATAGTGCCCTTCTTCCCAGGGAGTAGCTTCTACAAAGAGAACAAGACAAAAAGTTTCGCCCAAAACCATTTTAGGGAGATTTGTCATGGACGTGGGGCAGGCAGCCGCTTCACTTCAATGTTTCACTTCTCCAACAAACTCGGACTCCGTCGGCACGCTGCTCTGTCAGGTCTGACCCAGTTCGGTCCATCAGCACGTGCCCATGGCCTCGGATACAGCCCACGCCTTTTTCCTCCCCACATCCACGCGTGAAACTGAATCCACCCAAACATACAGCGAGGCCTGGGAACAACGCTAAGTCGATGCCTTCAAAGGAGCTATACGCTATATTCTTTCTAATGCCCTGATTAAATCCAAGCAGTTAGTTTCAGCCTTAAGCCCCTGAGTAGCCCAGGATTTCCTCAAAAATAACACTGGGATCAATACAGTCTGTTGCAGCAAAGTCAAAAACTGCATAGAAAGAAATTTGTCCTAGTCAGCAGTTAGTCAATAGTCTTCTCAGTTTTACTGTGGTCAAAAGCTTTAGAATCAAGAAGTATTAAACAGAATTCTCTCTCATCACACAATTCTTGAAATATTCAGCACTTCAGATTAACAACATGTAAAGATCCAAAAGAGAAGACTGCGAAAAAAAAAAAATCAAAGCAAACTAACTAGTATTAGTAATATTAGTGCCAGGTTAATACTTATAACCTTGGATTTTAGGATTCTGTGTAACTGTAAATATAACAAAGACAGCAATTACAAATTTCAAAACAAGCTGAAGAGTGAAAAGAAAGTTTGCTTATTCAGCCTGCTATAAACGGAATGCACTGCATTACTGGTTTATAAAAAGGTCAAATTCATACCTTCAAATAAATTACAGCATCTGAACCAACGCCTTCCATTGAGTAGAGTTTAAGGTCACCTTGAAAGTACCTGGCATACAGACGAGAAATAGGCAAGCCATAGCCAAACCCAGCCTACAAAAACAAGAAAACAACAGGAAAAACAAAATGAAAAGGTTTTTTTGTTAAAAAAAAGCAACAGATCACTGCAATCATTTATAAAACAGAAGATACCTTAATTTTCAGCTTGTATCAAATTACTTTTCAAGCCTTCCTTTATTAGTCTACGTGATAACTTTGTATTCATTCTTTTGAGTAATCTCCTTTTTCTTAAGCATAGTATTTTTTTAGTTACAGTACAGAAAACAGGAAAAATACCATAGACCTTTGTTAGGACCAGCTTGTCCATTTTGCATTTTCTCAAAAAGGTAGGTGACTGTAACACGCAGTACCTGCTGCCTCCAATCACCAAAGCAAACTGATACTGTCTATGACTTGCTCACTACAATTACCATTGCTGTAATAATCCATTCTTTTTTTGGTATCAAAAAATAAAAAATAAAAATTTTTGACAGCATGTCTTTTCTCCCCCCAAGTCTGGGATTATTCTCCTCAAATGTCTCCACACACAGGAAATTAGACAAGAAAGCCAGAGACAAGTCTGTTTACTTCATCTAGGTCACACCATTAAGCGATCCCTGCGGCCACACCCCAGCAGAGTTGGGAGCGCTGCTCCAGCAGGTTATGTACAAAGCAATACAGGGTGAAAAATCCTTGCTGTTTTCGCCCTTCTAAGGAAAGACGAGGATTCCACAGCACTGCACGGTCTACTGAGGACTGAGATCCTGTGCAGACCACACAATTTTCAAAGCGAAACAGACTTGACAGGTACAAATTCTAGATTTTAAATTTACAACACTAATGTTCATAACCACAGCTGCAACAAGGTCAATACTTGGCACTTTTTCTGGCCCACCCTCGGCAGAATGAGTCATAAAAAACTCCAAGCCTCTCTCACTGCAGCCAGGGAGTAAGATTTTGGTCTACACATCAACTCTTCCAGATGATTAGGTACGTGCTGAAAAATCACAGTGGTTGACTACTCTCCTGAAACACTCTCCTGAACTTCTCAGGACTATCCAGAGCAATAAAGGAAGGATTCCACGCACAGAAGCATTTGAAAAGAAGGATATACAAGGCAATGGAGTAATACAATTTTTCTGTAAGGGTGGATTACAAGAAGAATTAGACACATAAAATTTTCAGAAAACCAACAAACTCGTTCCACTGTAATATTTCTACAAAGCCAACCTGACAAGATAATGGAGAATCATGCCCTGAATCTTAAAAACAAAGCCCCAAAATGATTCAAAAAGGAAAAGACTAAGAAGGAAGACTCGTGAGCATTACACAAAGCTACTGTGTGCTACCACTTTACAGGAAATCCCTTGAGAGAGGGGTGAACACGAAAGAACTTTGTCCTACAGCATCCATCACAAATTCTCGTGCCGTTGTCTACTAGCTCTACACTATCTTTTGATCTCTGCCTCAACTTCACAGAAGTCTAAATTTAGTGATCTTAAAACTGGTTAGAAGGGCTCGCTCCATTCTTCTGAGCAAAACGACAGGCAGAAATGGCAAAGATGCCTTTTTCTACTCACATTCCTTGTCAGAGTTATTAATGTCCATTTCCACTGTGTCCTGGTTTTGGCTGGGAAAAAGTTCATTTTCTTTGCAGTAGCTGGTACAGTGCTGGTTTGGATTTAGGATGAGAATAATGTTGATAACACAGGGATTTTTTAGCTATTGCTGAGCAGTGCTTACACAGAGTCACAGCCTTTTTTGCTCCTCACCCCACCTGCGAGTGGGCTTGGGGTGCACAAGGAGCTGGGAGGGGACACAGGTGGCACAGCTGACACCAACCTACCAAAGGGATGTCCCACATCATGTGACACCATGCTCAGCTCATAAGGCTGGAGGAAGGAGGAGGAAGGGGGGCACATTCGGAATGATGGTGTTTGTCTTCCCACATCACCATCATGTGGGATGGAGCCCTGCTCTCCTGGAGATGGCTGAGCACCTGCCTGCCCATGGGGAGGGGGTGAAAGAATTCCTTGTTTTGCTTTGCTTGCACACACAGCTTTTGCTTTACTTATTAAACTGTCTTTGTCTCAATCCACAAGTTTTCTCACTCTTACTGTTAGAACAGTTGTTTAGCTGCACTTTTTCAAACCGCAGTGTGCTTTAAAAACATAATTCTCAAAGACACACAGAGAGACACACTTTCAAACATCTGGTCTTGAAACTGCATGCATGCATTTCTTAAACATAAAAGGAAGTTATCTGACTGTCTTAGAAAGAATTAAAAAAATTCCAAAAACTGACTTGCATCTTTTCTGGAGACCAGATAATAAACACGTTACAGAAATTACAAAACACAGCAACCAAAAGACAAATTGTAGATAGCACCTACCTCCAAGAACAGCTCGAGTAAAGGACAGAATCAAGTAATCCTGAAAAAAACATTTTACTTTCCTCTTTCCAGAAATACAATTCCTTAAAATCCGTACCCAACTTCTGTTTGCCTCCTGCTCCTTCCAGGAAATTCTTTTTATGCTCTGTGCTGGCCAAAAAATCTGTGCTGGTTACTTTCTTCCAAAAATCTCCTGTCAGTCTTTTCTTTACATTGCCTTCAGGTTATTTTTCAAAAGAGGTAACTTACAAGAAATACAAAGACAGCAGATCCCACCTGAAACCTTGTTAAAGCAAGACCTTGCAAAAGGTGTATGTTGCAAAACAAGAAATGTTTACTACATAGGTCTGTGCTTGACCAAGAGGACAGAATATAACTAATGACAGCACATCTGCCTTGAGAAGAAGTCCTTCAGAGCCAATTTCTCATTGTATATTTTAGTACCCATTATACAAATAGGAGATTATTAAAATTTGTGTTACTTGTGCCTACAGGTTTAATTAAACCTAATTAAAGCCACATTTCTCCCACTAAACAAAAGCTGCAAGAGAGAGAATCATTAAATTCCTCTAAGAAAACCTAATTATCATTAACCATTACCACATGTTTTTAACGTTTCCAGTATGTGTGTGGCAGTCCAGATGAACACAAGACCTGCTAGAATCCCAGGGCTGCCATGGTAACAAGGTTTCTCAGCAGTTTTGAAACAACATTTGCAATGAGACTGAGAAAGAACCCTAACCCATCAACAAAAAGATCCCCCTCTTCCACTCCTCAAGCCTATGAATGTTTCATAAACTAGACAGGGGATCACAGAACAAGGAGAGGGAGTGTTAGAACAGAAGAATGTGCCTGTTTACATTGCACTGCAATTTAGTTTAGGATATTACCTAAGTCAAGTCAAGAATGACACAAGCATGGATCTACCTACCTTCTGGAGCACCACAATTTTTAAGTTGTTCAGTCTCTGGCACTACGCGATAAAGACAGTTCAGACTTGGAAGAAGATTTACACAGAACCTATCTGCTGAAGGATTTTTATTTCTAGACTGACATATCAAGTGCACCATAATTGTTTCTATAACTGGATCGGGGCCATGGTACATAACGTGTCAAGCGTCACTGCTAAGGCCTTTCCCCTCTTAGCAGAAAGATAAGCCACAGACTCCCAGTTCTTGACTTCTTTCTTTCTGCACATACATACATGTAACAGAGCTTAATAACTCTTCTCGACATTCAGTCGTGTACAGGCCTCAGTCAGACTCACAGGAGGGCAAAAGCTGCCAGGGTCACAAGAGAAGGGTCTGACTTCTTCGCAGGTCTGACTGCAGTGACACACAGACTGAAGAGGAAAACAAGGCCTAACAATGGGGCACAGTAGATGAATACAAAGTATAAATGTCACAAAAATCAAAGTAAACGGTCTTGAAGATGAGGAAATAAACACAGGAATGCACTGCTAAAGATGCACGAAGAGGGTAGGGAAGAATAGTGTCAATCCTAAAATGAACACATTTTACAATCAGAGAGCCACAAAGGAAGTGACAATTTAATAGTGAATACAACCAGCAATCAAAGCACAAGTTTACAGCAAGAACAAGTTCCAGGAAATCCTTGCAGGCTGATATAATAAACTGCTGATCAAAAACGGGACAGAACAAAGGCAGAGTCTTTCTTGATTCATAATCTACCACTCTAGTCATAAAGAAAAAAGCTTATATTTGGATTAAGGTCTGTTCTCTATCACTCATCCCATTCAAGAAGTTGGGTTTTTTTCTATGAAAAAGCAAAAGTTTAATACATATTACTAAGATGTGTTGTAGACAGAGGAGCTGTGAAGGATTAATATCAAGTCAATGCAGATAGAAAACTGGGTTTCACACCCACTGCAGTGGCATCAAACACTGGTGGAAACCATGCAATACACTTATGTGCCACAACGTTATGAACTGTGGTCTAAGGCAATACCATAAAGACTTTCTGCTAAAAAATCTAAAAGGAAAGTCATTATCTTCAAAACCACTCTGAACTGGTTTCACTCTCAGTTCACTGTTAATTATTTTACAACAGAAATAGTTACATACTCTCTGCACCGCATATTATTAGCTGTGTTTGAAGCTCCCTGAAGGTGCTTCAAGCACAGAAGTATCAGCAGAAAGAAAAAAAAATAACAAACAAAAATCCATAAACCCCAAACAAACCTAAGAAACATGATAGATGAGTGTTCCTAAATAGGGAAAAGAAATTTCTCAAAGAATCAACTTTTTCCTCAACATGCTTGAAGAGAAAGGATTGTGTAAGAAGGCAGAGAACAAAGAGGCAAGAATACATTATCAGTATCAATCCAGTTACTGAAAGTCAGGCAACAGAAGCTGTATAATTTTTATCCCAAGAACTAATACGTAATTTAATAAAATAATTCAATTTTAATAATTGAAAAAATAATTCTTGCTAAAAGAATCTACATATTCAACACAATTCCCTGCTTAGAAGAAACTACAGGGAAATTTTGTTTGTTCAAAATCTGACCCTGATATGTCTCAGAATGGAGTATCACATGAGGTATTTGTGACTGAGCAAGAATTTCTTGAAAGTGTTCATATCACATGCAGGTTTAGGATTTATTTTTTAAATATGTTTTTACAGCCCATAACTTACATAAAAGTGATTTTCAAAGAGCTTGTATAGTAACAGAAGATGTTTCTCAAGCGCTACAATACCGATGGTGTGGCTCATCTTTGCAACACATTTATTACAGGAAACTTAGACAAACAGTAATTTACACGCCAAAGACAAGCTCATGAGGTTATTCACCTTCTCAGTAACACAGCACTAAAAATCCTGTCCATTAACCTGTGAAAATATTGCGCTTATGCAGACAAGCTTGCTTCCAAGATTGTCAAGACAAAGAAAAGCAATTTTCTACTCCAAACACTTAGTGATGATAACAGAACCCATTTTCTCCTGCATAGAATTGCATAGATTTTACCTGCATGGAACTGCTAATGATAAACAACTTCGTCAATGAAAACCTGATCCAGTAGATTGCAGTGAAGGGAAATGTACAACCAGGGTAACTCAAAAGGACATTTAAATATTTATTGCAATTGCTTACCAAAGGCACAGCTCTTGAGGGCTCCAAACTAGGTCGGGGTGCTGTTGAGTACATGTAGTTAAACAATCTGTCTATTTTTCTTAAAGGTACACCTCCACCTTGGTCACTTATCTAAGAAATCAAAAGTTTGAGTTTTAAACATTATGTTCTCAAAAAAAACCTGCAAGACTCAAGCAGCGTTATCTAAATAACTTCAGAAATATTAAAGGAGCAGTTAAGGACTTTGGGTTTGTCTACTTTGGAGAAGAGGAGGCCAAGGGGCGAGGAGAGGACCTGGAGAGGGAGATGCTGAGCTCTTCTCGCTGGGATCCAGCGAGAGGATGTATGGGAATGATTCAAAGCTGCAGCAGGGAAGGTTCAAACTTCACATTAGGAAGCATTTCTTTACCAAGGGGATGGTCAAACCCTGGCACAGGCTTCCTAGAGAGGTGGTCAATGCCCCAAGCCTGTCAGTATTTAAAAGGCTTTTGGACAATGCCCTTAATAACAGGCTTTAACTTTTGGTCAGCCCTGAATTGCTCAGGCAGTTGGACTAGATGGTCATTGTAGGTCCCTCCCAACTGAAATATTCTATTCTAATGAATATGAAGCAAGCAGCAGAAGTAATACAGTAATTGATTTGCCTTTTCCAATTAAAAGTCATACTATTCTAAACCTAGCAGGTTTGTAAACTGCATATTATTTTAAGGCATTTACCTTAATAGAGAGATCTTCTTTCCCCAAAGTGACTAAGGTTTTGATCGATGGATAGCCTTCTCTCTTACCTTCATGCAATTCCACTGTAGCTCTCATTGAATTCTGAAGATAAAAAAAACACAACATCTTTGATTCTAGCTTTACCACATATGCTTTTTATGACAACTTAGAACTCGCATTTTGTTGAATCTAGATGACTTGTCCTAAAACACATTTAAAACAAACTCAAGTGCTTTAAAAGCAATGAATTGTCCAGTTAAACTTTTACATCAGAACTCCATTATACGTACTTTTATCTGTTTGATATAGAGTCAGAGAACATAGAGCAATACTTTTTTTTTTTCTCCTGTGTGAAATCAAGTAATTATATGTAAGAGATGTCAATATCCTTCACCTCCACCTCCCAGAACACCAACAGTGATGTTCACCACAGAGAACAAGCTTCGATTTTCTCAGCCTGGGTCACAAAATTGTTCAGTTATCATCTATCAATCCGACTTTATTATACCTATTAACGGAGCTTCTACTGCCAGTCCATCACAGATTACCGTTACTTACAGCTAACAACTTACTGGTTTCATCCTGTTTCATGACTGTACCAAAACATACCTACAAGTAGGGTACAAATTCTCACCTGTTCTGCCCTAGAACTAATGTTACAAATGGCAAAATAAGAGAAGATTTAAATGAACATACTTGACAGATGTTAGAAATCAACTCCAAAATACTGTTATTTAGGAAATGTTTCTCTCTGACCAAATGCATTTTTCCCCTGAATTTCCAGTGTTCAACTACACCACGTAGAGACCCCGTATCTTAGTTGAAAGCGTGCAATAATTTTCACATGTTCTAGTTATCCAGAAAACACAAACAGAAACAAAACATGCCATCTACACTATTCTAAGGCATGTGGGTTGTCTTCACAATAAACAAGATACCATCCTAATTGGTCCTCAAATATGCAATAAAGCAGCAAGCTTATGAGAATGGTAATGAATGTATCATCTTTACAAAAATAAACTATCACAAGTGTTTTAAATTAAATCAGATGCAAAAACACAAAAGTGGGAAAACACAGAAATTTTTATGTTCACAAGGGCATGAAAGGACTGTAAGTCTAGATTTTAACCATTTCAAGCCCTCTTCCCTTGTTTAAAAATAAGCCTAAAAAAGGAATGTAAGTTCACAAACCTCTTCCAAATATTAGCAAGTGCAACCTACCTTGAATAATTCAAATAACATATGAAACAAATGAGAAGGTACGTAGACCACTTGAATAGGCTTGTTAGGAGCTTTAGCTATAAAACAAAGAAGAATTTTTAATTTTTTTTTCAAAACAGTATTTTGTAGCATTTCTGTTTACAGAAATAACATGAAGCAGTAGGCAAAGACAAGTACGTAAACATATTCTGATTTTCCAAGTACAAGATTAGCTAAAAACCCCAAAACATAAATTTCAGTTACTGTTATCACCTGAAATAACAGTCTAATGATGATTTTCAGAGACATCTATGTCAGCAGACTTTGTTTATTAATGAAATTTCACTAAGCATTCATTGGTTTCATACTGACAATGTATGTTAATGAAGAGAACTTTCCCACTTAAGTAGGAAACTTATATTTAAGCATAATATTTGCTGCACAAAAAGATTCTTAAACCAAGAAAACTCCACTGTTTAAGTACTCTGAGAGCAACTACATATTTTCCCTAAATTAAACCATATAAAATGTAAAGTATTAATAAAAAACCCTGAAAATATAGTTCAAATAATATCAGTTTTCTTATTCCAAATCATAATTGACTTGTTTGTCCACTGTTGCCAGCGTTTCAGCAGAAGTATCTTGCTTGGCACAGCTCTAAATGCCAGAGTGCTAATTGATTTGGCAAGAAATAATACAGCTGCATTTAATATGTTCCATGAGAGAGTTTTGGTGTTGCAGATGTGGTCATCCCTGAAGATTCAAACATCTACTAGCATTAAATTATACAGTCACAGCTTGTCAGCCTCAGTAGCAGTTCAAATTGAAAAGTCTATAAACGCCTGCTTCATAAATTGGGGGAAGACAGAGGCACGCACACAGCATGTGACTGGAGTTAACTTCATCTTTTTTTGTGCTGAGGGCTAGTAATAATACCAGTTATTACTTTAAGATACATAGTAGTGAAACTCCTAGGAAAACTAAAAGACCAAGAGTATGCTCTGCAACTTGATGTTTTATCAAGCTAAAATTTTGTCAGAGTCCATACTCATGCACCACCAAAACCAAAGCAGACCTATTTGTACTCATTTGGGGTACAGAATACGTGTAGAAAGCATGTTCTCGTTGCTCTTGCGAGGTAACTTGCAAAGTCGCTTTCCTCGCACTGAAAATAAGCTAGTTTAAAGGAAACAAGTAATTCTTTCCTTGCTTCTCTTTCACAGAATCACAGAACTGTTGAGGCTGGAAAAGACCTCTGAGACCACCAAGTCCAGCCTATGACCCAACACCCCCCACATGGGCCAGAGCACGGCACTAAGTGCCACATCCAGCCTCTCCTTAAACACCTCCAGGGACGGTGACTCCACCACTGCCCTGGGCAGTGCATCCCAGTGCCTGAGCACTGGAAGTGACGTGAGGAAGGGCTTCCTGAGATCCAACCTAAACCTCCCCTGATGCAGTTTCAGGCCGTGCCCTCTCGTCCTGTCACTGGTTGCCCGGGAGAAGAGCCCGACCCCCACCTGACTACGCTCTCCCTTCAGGCAGTTGTAGAGAGTGGTGAAGTCCCCCCTGAGTCTCCTCTTCTCCAGGCTCAACACCCCCAGCTCCCTCGTTGCTCTCCTCACAGGACTTTCCCTCCAGTCCCTTCCCCAGCCTCGTTGCTCTCCTCTGGACCCGCTCCAGCCCCTCCAGGTCTTTCTTGCAGTGAGGGGCCCGGCCCTGCACACAGGGCTCGAGGGGAGGCCTCACCAGGGCTGAGCACAGGGGCAGAATCACATCCCTGCTCCTGCTGGCCACACTGTTCCTGACACAGGCCAGGATGCCACTGGCCTTCTGGGCTACCTGGGCACACTGCTGGCTCATGTCCAACCCGTTGATCACTGAGATCCAGCAACTTGTTCCCTCTACTGTTGGATCTTTTCACTTAGGCCTGCAAATGAATTTTGCGTTGATTCCTCTGCTGAAGCACTCAGCACTTTAGCTCTAATATCATTCGGGTTTGGATGGGGGAAGGTTGGGTCCCTTGGTTTTGGGAGCGAGGACCGTTAGTAATGCATCGGTCTCAACGATATCACTTTGTGTTGATGAATATTTCTACAACATTAAACAGTACTTTGAGCAATGTATGTTCAGTTTTGAGTGTTACCTATTTCTGAGACTTTTGCAGTTCTGCTGAAGTTTGGAAATACCTTAGTCTTATGTTTGGACAGCCGTCCAAAACTTGTCAGAGGATCACTCAAGGCAATTTACTTCTTTAAGTTAAAACAGTAATCTACCTTTTCTCAGCAGAAATCATGAAACAGCTGACAAGTTGTTTTGTAGCATCCACTTTTCATCTTTGCAAGCAACTTGAAACAGATTTTCATGTAAGAATTTTATGATAGGACTTGAAAGCATTGTCTATTTAGGCAAAATTAGACATTTTTTCTCTTACACAGAAGAGCTCACCACTAGTGCAGAGATTGCCAGTGGAATTTATAAGCAAACTTCAAAATGAAACAAATTTCAGCTCTATTAATAGATTAGTTAGAAGGCAAGAGTGTTTCCTTCTCAGTTACGAGGATTCTTGGCCACTTTATTTTCCGTAAGTGATGGAAAATTCAATAATTAGCACTCCGCGTTCAGCATTCTAAGGTAAATGTCAAGATGATAAATTCTAATTCAGGTGTCCACATAGACACATTAGAAGAAGAAAAGTAACTTCATGCAGGATTGCAGAATTCAAGTATCAACTTACAATTAACTAACAAAACTAGAAATCACAGATATTAGAAATGCTTTTTTCTTACATATATCAAGTAAAATTAATTACATAATTACCATTGAATTCCTCAACTTCCAGTTCAGGTGCCACCATATAGTACTGTTCACACAACATCTTAGCTGTTTCATAAGCATCTACAAAACAACAGAACACTGATTTACCGAAATCATTTAGAGACTAGCAAAGTTCATCCCACAAGCAAAAGGTGACAAGCAGAACACTCAGTAACTAGTTTACAAGTGTTCTGAAACTGGTGTCCATTCTAATTCCTTTTTCTCTGCATGTTTATAGCCCATTTGTCAAGAAAGGACAAATTCTATTTAAAGCTCTACAAACAAAAGCAGATTACTAGAGACAAGCTATTTTTCATCTTATTCAGGGCTTGAAAACTAGAAGGGTATAATCTTAGACCATAATATCTACTTATTTGTCCTGTCCCAATTGCAATTTAATGTTTGTTCTTTCCATCTTAAATAAAAAAGGATGACATTGCAACCATAAATTCCATTTTTCGAAACACAACACTGTTTACAGTACTTGATTTTCAAGGTCTTTTGGGGAGAAAGCTGGAGTCTTTAAGATTCTTCGTTTTTTCCTGCTGAACAAAAAAACCAACCAACCAAACCATCCCACAATCCACATCAGGCTTTATGTATTGTCCAAATACAGCAAGAATGTTTAAGCCACCTTTTGTTTTAAATATTTCTTAGTGGTTCTATATAATCACTGGTACTTCATTTGCAAAAATATTTTAGAAACAAGTGTTAGCTTAACGAGAAAAAAAATTCCGTCAGTTGTTCTGACATCTGCAAGGCTGGACATGTCACACAAGGCCGACACAAATACTGCTTGAAGTCTAGAAAAATGGAGCTAATCAACACTGGAAACGTTCTCGATCAAGGCTCAGGACTCCCTCACACAATCAGCTGTCCAGTAGGAAACTTTTGTGTCAACACAGTCAGCTCTCCAAAGACTGCCTAAAAGGGTCCTGTCATTAACATGATTACATGTGTCCTAGTAAAAAGCTCAAAATCCCATTTAATACCCAAGCTCTACAGATCACCTCAACCCCGGGTGTGCATAATTTAGGGAAAAAAGATGTAGGAATACCTACATTTACATGATATTCTAAGATTACGTCAGAACTTCTGATGGTCTTGGGAGTAATCCTATGCTTTAGAAAAAAGGGGCGTAAGAAGCACAGTCATAATACGGACTTAGCCAAAAGCTTAAGATGGAAATGTAGCTAGCATGACCAAAAGGCCATCAACATGGAGAAGGAATACGTTAGCACATTTCAAAGAGTTTCCACATCACAGAAGTGAAAATTAGATATGGAGCCAGTGGGCAGGAGTTGGATGCTTATTGTGGAGAAAAAACTTCAAGGCCTCTAAAAAGCAAATCAATAACTGTATGTGAATAAACCAAAAGCCCTCAATACACAAATGGGAAGCAGTCACAGCCACTATGCAAACCTTGAGAGAATAAATCCATTTATACCCTCCCTAAATTTAATATAGAACTCTCAGCCGTTTTCAAGAAGTAACCACCCCTGAGGTGAACAGGAAAACATTATCATTTCATGACCCAGTAAAATATTCAGCCCTGAGCAAAACTGTGTCAAACAATGTCCGAGTGCAGCCTTACATTTTACATTCCTCTAAAAGCCAACTCTTTGGCAGAGTCCTAAGACCACAAGAGAAACTGCAAAGTTCAAAACACACTTCATGTTGCAGCTAGAAGTAAGCAGCAGCAAGACTGAAGGATGTATCAATACATCTAAAATCCCAGGAACAAGCCTGGATTTGCTGTCAGCTCAAAAATCGTATTGTAATACAGTCAGCAAGATAGAGACCCACCTCAGGCAGTTACAGACAGAACACTTGGTGGAGCTGCTTGAAGCACGAAGTGGCCGTTTAAATCACTTCCTCAATGCTTGAAGGGCATACAGAGCTTGTAGCTGCCAACCACAGCGCCAAAATCAACATCTTAGCTCTGACAAACTACTCAGAATGCTGCCTGTGAACCAGAACATTCTGGAGCTAGCACTGAATACAGAACATAAATTAATCCCTCCGACACTTCTACAAGGAAATAGCCTCAATTACCTTGACTCTAGACAGGCTCTGTCTTTAAGGACATTTTGTTTCTTTGAAAGACAACATTGGATACTGTCTACAATGCCCTCATTTCATTAGTGATTATTTCTTCAGATTTGGAAAGTATGTTTCAGCTGCTCGCTTGAAAACTGGACTGAGACCTTCTGACTCTATGCACAGCCCTGTCCAAAGCAGCAACTACGAATCTGCTTACCAAAATAGATCCAGAATAGATCCAAACACTGCTATTAGAAGGAAGAGCTAAATAAACCACAAAGCGGTAATTTATACAATGCTGAGGTCAGAGTAGAGCAAGATCAATCAAAAGAAAAAGCAGCTGCTGAAAAAAGGGCCACCTGAGAGCCAAACAGCAAGAAGCCAAGAAGCCTTACTAACAGTGAAAGGCATCTACGTTACAAAGCAAGCTATCACGTATGTCAAAGTCTGACATAAGAAAGGTTTCCCTCTTGTTTCACCAGAAGGCTGAGAGAAAGTGTAGAAACACTCTCCTCCCCTCTCACAGCTCCACAAACACCGGTGAAGGATCAAGGTTGGAATTTACTCCTACAGCAAAACCTAGATTTGTAAACAGAGTGTGAATCTTCAGTAAAGAAGTTCTTGAAGCAGACACCACTGCCTCATACCTACTTATTAACTCTCTACATGAACATTCACAACATTAAGCAAACAGGATTTTTTTAAGCAAACACTATTTCTAATGCAACTGTGCCAGACCATTCAGGCACAACTGTCACACACATGTCCTCTGGGTAAGAGAGAAGAGGCTGTGGTATCATCAGATTCATGTAGTAATTGGGGAGTTTTGTTGGAAAATCTGTAACCTCAAGGCCACTTTACTGAAAGGTGTAACAAATTGGAAAACTTCACTTACTCTCAGTTTTCTTTAGAACCAGCATCAGATTAAAAAAAAGCATTACACAAGAACCTGCTTTTAAGTATTTTAGGGAAGACAACATCTGAAGTTTAACAGAACATGTAGATACTTAATCTGATACTTAAAAAGTCAGATTAGTTATTAAAAAAAATTAAAATCAATTGTTTTCTCAGTTCTGTTAGCATACCAAAGTTTCTCCATTCTCAGTACTGAAGGCATCAGAAAAATCTCAATAAACTCATGGCTTTAATGTGACCAACTGCAGAACCTCTATTTCTTATTTTATTAAATGAATTTGAATCACGTTAAGTCTTTTGTATCTCAAGAACATATTTATGTGTATTCAAAGTTGTGGAGTTTTTTTAACGCACAAAAATATTAACTTAATCTTACCTTTAACCACCTCTGCTACATTACAATTAGGATCAATACTTCCAATATGTTTGGGATGAGCAGGATTAATATCTCCACCAAAAAGAAGTGCTAAAAGGAAAAAGAAATGGTAGTAAATAGTCTACTACACTTGAGGCAGCCCAGAAAGTTTAAATCTGAACGTATCTGAAACTTACCAAGTAGTGCATCATTTTCTAAAAAGATACTCTAGCAAACTGCCAGAATCCTTGCTTAGAAAGACTACTTGCCTCCTCCTTCCTTTTTTTTTAATTTCATTTTTCTTTTTATAGCTAAGACTAGTTAAAACTGAAATGGCAGCGTGGGGAGGGTTAAGGTGAAAACCTACATTTCTGAGGGGACTATCAAAGATTAAATAAAGCTAGAACGTAAAATGCTTTGTTCATACCATTATGTCAGAACAGAAGCACTCATAACAATGAAGATGTTATAGGGAAAAAGACTCAGGAACTGTAAGCCAGCATTAAAACCTTTTACACTTCCCTAAGGTGCAATCTCACAGCTGGCACAGAGGTCCCTCACTCACCTGTCTCCCTGACTCTCAGCTCCCCTCCCTCCTTTGCTCAAGGGTCTGGCACGCACCAGATCCTTCACCGAGAGTTTTTAGCTCTCCGAGTAGAAAGGTTTTACGCTTCTTTGCAGAAGTGATTTTCTGCTATTTTAGCCAGTTAGTCAGCTCTGATAAGAAACATGCAGTACGAGTTGAGCAAAAGACAAGATCTTAAAGCTTTTCCTATTCCAGCCACAGTGAGCTGCACCTTGCAGAAACATTGACAGGCTGTTTCTCACAGGGTAACATAAGAAACAAACTACATAAAACCTGTTTCTTTGTTCCGTTTTCCAATTCCCTTTTTCATCAGCACTTCAAGATAAATACTTCCCATCACGGATGGATCACTAACATTGCTCAGCATAGATAACTTGTCCAAGGTTAGCTCAACTTTAAGTATCCATAAGCGGTTTGAGGTTTCAAGCAGTTAAGTATGTCCATAGGAAAAGCCATTTTAGTTCAATGAAATAAGTTTAATATTTTAGAACTAGGGCAAATTATGCTAGCACTCAACCCAAGAATTCTATTAGGACAATTTTTTCCCTTACTGCTAGAACTCTTCTACAAGAGCCTTTTAACTTGGTTTTATGTCTGTCATCTGTCTGCCCAGGTACAAGTGAAGAAAACGCTGCACATTTATCTCAGTTTGTACACTTCACCACGTTAAAATTATTTGAACACACAGAGAACGACATTTTTTTAGTCACATAAAAGGCTACTGGCAAGCCACACAACTTGTACTAAAACACCTTACACCACAGTACTCTAGCATCTGCATTATCTGTAGTGTACTACAATTTCTAAGAGCTCATAAAAGCAAAATGCTGGGCAGAGAATGAAGTTCTAGAGCTAAAAGGCACAAGATACATTAGAAGAGATCACAAAACTGTCCTTAACTTCATACAGATCACTTTCTGCATGGTTGCATATACTGGTTAATAGGAGCTGTGCAAGTAATTCCTTTCACTCTGTAACATGAATAAAAAATTAAGTTTATCAGTAACAACAAGCAGAACAGAAACTAATGATAAAGCATGACTAATTCTAGCATTTATTCCTAAACAGAGAATAGGAAGTAGAGGGAGACAAGGGATGTCATTTAAAACTTAAATTAGAAATAGTCAACCTCTTGAGAAGGCAAGAAAGTCTAGATAGCTTGCTGAAAAACACAACAACAAAAATACATATAGTGCACAACCTATTCAAAATCTATGAAATCCCTGCATTTCATTATGAAGTAAGTGTCAGCTCTACAAACTATGTTGAGAGATTTGTGCGCAGAAAGATCTAGCTACTCTACTACTATCTAGAAATACTTCATGTTTCGCTATGCAAGCTGCCTCTGCCAACAAGATGAAAAAGTGACAGCCGCGCTGACAAAGCCTGTCAGTTCTAAAAGCAAGCATACTGGTGTTTTGCATCCATTTCTGATAACTCTGAAGTACCAAATTACCCAGTTCCCAGTATATCTTCTACCATAATTAGCACAGAACATTAAGAATTAGTCAAGAGTATTAAAAACCCCAAACACAAAAAACCTCAACCCAAAACACAAAGCTACAGGTTCAGGTTTAGAAGCAATAACTAATGAGTGCTCAAAGATGAAAAAAGGAATTACTTACTGTGCTGGTTAATAAGCATACGGAAAGAGATGCGGTTGGTGTAGAATCTGTCTAGAAAATACTGGATGTTACTGCTAACAAATGGATCAAAGCCATATTTTTCCTTGTATTCAATCACCCCTTGCGCCATGGTTGGAACCACATCATTGTGTCTGTTCCTGACTTTAATTAAAACATCTAAAAAGCTAGAGGAAACAAAATTAGAAACAGATTGTTAAAAGCATAATTAAACTCAAACTCTAACTTCTGTTTTGAACTCCCCACAGCAAAATCCTTCTGTTTACTACCCCTTCCAGTCAACAAAAAAATTATCAGAAGATAAAAATATAGCACTACCTGAACAAACCTATTTAAAGAGAAATATTTGGTCAACCTCTCACTAAGGTAATCCACTCCAAAACATTCCTTTAAATTGAACTGCTCTTCTCCATTAATGAAGAACAAATTTTTTTTTTTTTTTTATTGCAGTCATATGCCACCACAGCAGCTCTTAATCTCTGCAACCAACAGTAGCTGAGGATTGGAAAAGAAACTCGGGAAAAACAACCTGGCTGCCCCTCATAATTTCCCAGTTTTACACTTCAGACTTTCTTCCCAACACCTCAATCCATGCAGCGTAACTTGTGAATGCATTTCCTTCGCCCGGCTTCTACTACAGTAAATTTGAATATCGGCACAGGTAATTCCAGTGTGACTTCTGTTCAGTTTCCTTTTACACCGCTGGATGGCAGAGCACATACAACTCCAACGGGCTCTTCTCTCCCGTCGCTGAGGAAGTTTTAGGAGATCGCTTCCATGGCTTTTAACAGCACCTGTTGACATGCCCCTACTTTTGAAACAGCTTGGAGGATTTTTGTTTCCCCTGCCAAGACAGCTCAACTCCTACGATCTTCAAAATGCTCTTCCCCCCACCCCCGCAAGCTCACAGTACTTGAACCACTAATTATTATTAGTTTTCTAAAGCCCAGATATGGAAAATCAATACTACTCAACTCTGCTACATTTTGCAACATGAAATGAATATCAACACCACAACAATTACACGATCTGGGTTTTTTTAAAAAGTACACACAATGAAATGCAGCTTTCAAAAGCAAGCATGTCTGTATCTGCAGTCCTACAGATCCTTTCTGGAAATATATCAACAGTAAAACAGTCTCAGTAGATTTATAATGAACACTGAAAAGGAACGTATTAATTATTTTTATCAAAGCTAAGGAAGGAATCGTAGAACGGTTTGAGTTAGGAGAGACCTTTAAAGCTTATCTAATCCAACCGCCTGCAGTGAGCAGGGGAAAGAACACAAAGACCACCACAAGTAAAAAGGCCTATCAATTAGACACTGCATTTAAAGCAGATGCTTCCTTCCTTTTCCTAACCACTTAGCCAGACAACCATTTAATATTACACCACACCGTTCTTAACGAGCAATACATTTGTCATATTATTTCTCCTGCTCTACACTGCCAGCTCATGGACAACCATTTAATATTACACCACACCATTCTTAACGAGCAATACATTTGTCAAATTATTTCTCCTGCTCTACACTGCCAGCTCATATTTAATAGTTTTTTCATCATCCTCAGTCTAACCATGAGTTTTTGCCTGTGTGTTAACAGTCCAGTACTCTTTCAACATAACTTTGTTGCATAGAGAAGGGGAAGTTTTAAACTGCTTAATTCCCCAATCTTGATACTACGACAGTAGAGAATGAATACTATCACAGTGCAAAATCACTGTTCTCCTACCAATCTTGCTGACTCGACAGCTTAAACTATTTTAATACTTAAAAAGAGTCTTTTATGTTTATTAAATCTTGATCCTGTGTGACCTGCAACCACCGAAATCTGATGTTATTTGTCAAGACTAGTGCCTGGCTGTACTCATGTAGCTTCTCTGTTTCAGAGCAACAAGACACTAGCTAAAAACAGAGCTGAGAAGGAACGCTCAGAATCACATCTGAAGGATGGCTGACAACACTCTCTCCAGCTATTTGCTGACAGCTTCGCTATTTGTTTTTAAATACCTCCACTACCCACAACACACACATGATGCCTACGTGCTCCACGAGGGCAAACTGTTCCCTGACATCCCATTACCAAAGAGGTGAAACGCACAGAGCGTGCCAAAGGGTTTATCTGCTAAGGGCAGCAAATCACAGCTGAAGCTCAGTGCACAAATACAAATAATAAAGGGACTCTTCATTACCGCAGTGACGTAACAAACCATCCTTCCACATCCACAGATAACTAAGTTCATACAAGTGTTTCCATCAAGCAGATGCTTTTAAAGGACCAAACACACCGATTATATAGGCACATTTCAAAGCAAGGGGGCAGAAATCAAAACACGTTTCCTTAATCTTACCACTGAGTCCTCACCAACTGGCACCTCCCATACCCCAGAATGACACAAAAATTCCACTGTACTCAAACTGTGGGAGACCATACCAAGAGATTTCTATTTTTTTTAATGCTCATGGGATTAGCCGGGGGGCAATACACCAGAGGAGCACTAAAAATTTTATTTAGCATTTAATTTTTTTAAAATTCAGTGTATTGTATTTTCGAAGCTACAACGAATAAATAATGCAGTCAATAGATGAGAAATTAATATGAAACTATTTTAGTCAAATGAGCTTCAGTGACTTCTGTATTAACAAAAGAATATTTAAGGGGTTTTTTACCATTGCTGTTAAATAAATTAGCTTATAGACTTCTGCAAAGACAATTAATGAGTGTCGCAAGTTAAACTCCCTAATGGCTCTCTATATAAATTTTTGATCTATCATCACAGTGCAAGAAAAAATATCGTAAGTCAATAAAAACAAAAAAAAATGTTATGTCTTTTATGGATAGTCTTTAATCTGAAAGATTAAAGATAAGAAAGTGATGAGTAGTCTGGAAGAAAAATCCTTTTTAAGTGGAACAGACATGCAATGGGATTTTTGATTGGCTTCTCTTTCTTAAAGAAGTGCTAGCTGGTAGTTGGAAACTACCACACCGACAAGTTCACACTGAAAGATTTCTCTGCTAAAAAGTGTAGCCACTTTTGAAGTGCAAAACTAACTAAAGTAGCATTTCACATCGCCTTAAAGTAATAAAACAGCATCTTCTTGATTGAATCTACTCCAATATTTATTCATTTCAAGTTGCTAACAGAACCACTATTTCAATTTTGGTGCTGCAGAAAGGGAAGTTCTTGTCCACTAAGTTTTTTGTGTGTGTGTGTTATCTCTAGACATACTGGCAGTTTACCACTTCATTTGCTCTTAATTCCAGGCCACTCCCCTACACACCTTCCCACAAAGAGAAAAATCACCAAAGAAACTCACAGGTACAGGGGGTGGAGTAGGTGTTCTTTGAAAAGCACATGTGAACAGAAGTTTTACAAAAGCTTCAATTTTGGAAAAACAACTGCCTCCATGTGTTTACTCCAAGGCACACTGGACAACACAGGAAATTTCTGACACTTCTGCCAGCTTACACCCTCTACCAAGTGTGCACACCTTATCTTAACAGCCCTTGCTCAACAGAATGTGGAAAGACTTCCACCCAACTGCTTTGCAGCTTGAGGAAAGATATTTGTGTTATCAAAAACACAAAAGTAACCTGAACTTTTGGTAGATGCCCACGCTGCTGACAGCAACAGTAATGTGGTGACATTGTAGTTAAGCCTTCATAAAGGTCTGCTAATCACTGGAATAAAGAAACTGAAGCACCTCTGAACCTCTTGATCGCATAAATACTTTGTCGTTTGCAATGAATATTAAAATAACAGCTAATTACAGCTCAATATCCAGCTAAACTGCACAGCCTTCAGGAAGCTAGGAATAGACACGCAAAGAGCAGCAAAGTAAATTTGACTTTCTAATATTAGGTTGCCTATCCAATATTGTCAAGAACAATAAATTTGCTCTTTAATGAGATAATGCATCTTTCATCTCTTCACAGGCCAAACTCAGTATAAAAGATGACTCTTACTATCAAAGTCCCTAGCTCGACTTTGACCTCAGTAGGAAGGAAAGAACTACCAACATCTGTATTTATATATACTTAATTATATAACTGCAAGATATCAAAAATTTAGCAAACAGTTATACTGAGTAAATATTTGGTTCACCAGCAAATAATTAGTATATCAAACTAATATAAAGCATTTCAATCTTTCCAATTGCCATGCAACACTATCAAGAATGCTTGTTCTCCTTATGGCAGAATCAGGTAATTTATGTGATAATGTACAAATCTCCAAGAATCCTGTTCATCAGTCTTTTAAAAATCACATACTGTGATCCACTTTGAACCTCTAAGGTCCATGAAAAGCTGAAATTCAGTTATTCAAATGCAGAACATCCGAGATGGTACCAGAAGCTACAGGACCACCTTACCTCCACCTGCTCACCCAGGACATGGATTACAGGCTTAACAGGACCTGTGTTAAACTTGCCAGGCTCACTCAGACATCTCGGAGAGCTTACGCTGTCTTAAAAGGCAACAAAAATGTAAGTTTTGATAACTTAAGTCTCAAGCAAAATGTTCTTCTAAGGCAAGCAGCAGAAAAATGTACTGCTGAATTAGTCAAATAGAAATTCTTGTCCCATCAGCAAACAAGCTGTAAATACAGAATCATTAAATGTAACAGCTAGAGGTAACTGAAAAGTTCATCTGATTTATCCACTGCAGAATAAGCAAGCTTAGAATACCACTGGAAGCTATTTATTCTCAGAAGTTTTTAAAAAGGGATGTGCTACAGCCTTTTGATACGATCTTTTTCAGTCTGTTCTCACTACTGAAATTCATATTTTGCCCTGCATGCAATGTTAACTTTAATAAAAATCAGCCATTTTTTAATTCTCTACTTCTTCAGTTAGAGCAGCACATTACCCTTTATGACAGTGGCTTTTTTATTTTTGGCATGCTCAGACTCCCAGTGTCTCACACTTCAATCTCTTTTTTGCCAGTCTAAACAAATGCCTTCATCATTATTCAGAGGTGGAACTATCCAAGTCTCTAATTCTTCTTCCTTTCACATCAATACTGTCCATATCCATTTTCATTTCTTAACATGTAGTATGCAAACGTGAAGACAGTGTTCCAGCTCAGGACTCGCACTGAAAAAATAGTTACTTTCCCGATGTTCACTAAGACTACGATTCACTCAGTCAGCCCACAACCCTTACAGTTCCTTCTCCAGTTCTGTCATGCAGGGAATTTGGTACTTGTGCACTTGAGTTTCTCCTGCATGTGTTGCCTGACACACACACAAAAGCATATCTCAGATATTATGCTCATAACCAAAAGAACACAACACCTAAACCACATTACCTAATAAAACCCTTACATAACCTAACATAGCAGTTAATGTATCTGAACCTAACTGAAGACCAAAAAAGCACCGTGTTTGCACAACACAGGCCACATCTTGCACAAACAGAACATTTGTTGGACTGCAAGATGTTCTGTGAAACACTTCCTATAAAGCCTGATCAGGCAAGATTTCCAGAGCCTAAAAAGAAAGTTTAAAAGACAAGCTACCCTACGGGTGCACACGTTGCACACACTGTTCTCGTGTGGTTTGGATTTCTTTTTTTCATTTTCATACACACAAATTTCAAGGACACAGTCTAATGACAATTTTAATATGATTTTGTCGATAAAGAAAATTGGATAAGCTTTACTTTCTACTCCAAATGTAACATTATTTAGTGAGGTAGGAGAACATCAATAGTTGAACTCAAAGCAGCTTTCAGATAAAAACAGTAACACATTAAACATTTTCAAACTGAAAAAATTCAAAGTATCAATGTATTAATACGCATCATACAGAACAGAGTACTAAGCTCAATGCATACATTCGAGTCATATGTAATTTGACACTCAATACAGCCTTGGAAGAAGCATTTCATGCCATTTCTTGAACTATCAGACTGCATAAATTCAAAATATACTGTTCAAAAGCACTTACATTCCTATATTTGGTTCCAGATTACAATAGTGGCCTTTGCTGCAGAAATTCTACTTGATAAATAAGACCACAGCTATCCTATAGTACAAAAACACTTGGGTTTGAGACATTATTTTAAAATGAACTGTTATAAGAAAACAAATCACTCACTCATCCAGAACATGAGGATCCTCAGGACTTTTATTTTCATATTCTAGAAGTTCAAGGAAACTTTGCATGTACCTGAAAGAAGAAAATTTATAAAGAAAGAGTTAAAATACTTAAGCCTAAATTACTTTTGGATTTGTTTTAAAACTTAAGACTATAACTTCACCTGAAACAAGAGCAGCATAGCACACAGTTGCTGCAAAGGCTAAAATGGGATGCTGCAAGGGGAAAGAAAGCAACTACATAATACCAAGTTAGAGAGTACTATTTATACTCTACAGTTTCAGATGTAGGAAAACTGTTATATACAGAAGCAAACCCTGTCTTGAGGTAGGTCTGTAATTTCAGGTAACTTCATCCATCACAGGATCTTGACTTCCTGGTCATCCACTCTGTACAGATCTTATTTTACTCCTATGTTCTGCAGAAAGTGATCCAAACTTCTTTCCAAAATAAAGCTCCAGGTAATACTTCCCACAATCCGTGCTAACAAGCCTGCACCAAGCTGGTTTTACCACAGTGCTCTAGAAGAGAACGCCCCTTCACACCCCCCCACACCTCACAGCACACCTCAGGCCATGTGGCACAACCCTCGGTTTCATAAAAGCACCTTTCTTGCACAACACAGCTCCCTCTATTTCAGATATTCAGTACAGATGAGATATTAACTGGTGCCTAGAGCCACAGTGGTGCCACACAGGACACAAAGATTTAAGGCAAAGTACTGCTCAACATGAACACTGTCAGACTGCTCTGGAGGATCCGAGCCCAACACCAGTAAAAATGGCACCATCTCACACCAGTGGGGCTGAGGAGCAGGTCATCACCTCCTGCCGCAGATGCATTTAGCAGTATCGATGAAGCTTGAAAGATTAAAGAAGTGAGATCTATTTCTTGAAGCAAATCATGGGAGGTATTGATCACACACATAAAAGGTAGGGTTTGAGTGTCACGTGGAGGAGCTGTCATTCCCCTCCCTTCACTCCTGGTTAAGCACAGCCTTTTACACTGACAACATCAAGGCTGATCAGGTGTGAGTGTTAACAGCTGTAACTCCCTGCAATGGTAAAACAGCCAGACAGATAAGTTTGCTTGTTTGGTTTTATCATTCTCCCACATGAAAACAATTCATAGAAAGGTGTAACCGGCTCAAGCTAGCACAAGAGAAGATAACTATAAAGCCTGCATAAGGAAAAAGCAAAACAACTGATGCAGCCTTTCTCCCTTTCAGCAGTAACAGCCCATTAGATCAGCTCAACAGAAGAGTGTATGCATAAGCTCCGGGCCAGTAGGGCTGATCCCAATCACTTAAGCTTGGACAACGTGGCATTACAACAAAACCTCGTTTGGTAACAGTTCCATGTTAAGACCAGCTTAAGCGGCTGTGAAACTTCATCCTACCTCTTCAAGTCACGGCAAAGTTTAAGATGCCACTGCTCCTACATGACTCCCTCCAGCACCACACACCCCCATTTCAGTTGCAGCCATCACAGGTCACTGGGACTTATCTCCAGAAAGACCAAAGTTTTCAAGATGGTCAGAACAGTAACACCAGCTCCTGTCCCTCTGTGTGTTTTTGCCTTCCTGCAACTGTCACAAGCAACTACAGACACGCCCCAAGTGTTTGTCAGTTTTAATTTTGGGAAGTAACTGATGTCTTTAGTACTGCTTATTTTAAAAAATGTTGTTCTACACTGCTAGGAGATAGTACCAGTTTAGGAAAACCATCACACCACAGTTCCAGGAGTTCAAGAAATTGCCTACGGTTACTTCAGAGAACAGGCAGTACCTCAAGGTGCCACAGCCCACTATCCACTGAAGCTGAGCTCCTGAGAAGTGCAACATTTAGCCATTAGGAAGACACAGAGGCAGCTCTAACTGCAGGGAAAGCACAGCTGATGTGCAGGGTAGAGTGGCAGGGGAAAAATCAGAAGGGCCAGCTGTTAGCTGGAGGAGGGAGGGAGTTTCTGGAAGAGTGAATGAAAATTAACCTCCTTCAAGAACGTGTTGTTTACACATACTCCCCTTTTATTAATTTTCACTGGAAAAAAGCTGCTTTACTCTCTGAACTCAGCTACTTCATCTGCAACACATAACAAATTATGATCACTCTCACCCCTTTGTTTCAAAGATGTATGTATTATGCAACATCATCTGCCTCGTGTGAATCAATCAATCAGTTAATCACAGGTACAGGATGGGAAAAGAGGAACAATTATTACAGTGAGCAAAACAAAGTAATAACCAATCAGCAAATGAACTCCAAAATGGAAGAAGGGGAAGTGGTAGACAAGGCACTGAGGCAATTCAGGGCATCACGGATTCAGCTCTATGGAGGCAGCAAGATGAGCTTCTGACTTCTCACCAAACCAGGCAATGTCATGCAGAAGCAATGGTTAAGACTCAAAGTGCTCAACTTTGCTCTGCCTCTAGTGAATATACAACACTCCACAACCAGTCTTTGCTACCTCCGTCATAATTTCCTTGACAGGTGATGAGAATATACCTAAATCATTCAATCCATAATTGTCTCTAAGAGGAAACCAACTTTAACTTTTTCTGTGAAAAAAGGGTATCATTCATGCCACACCTTTTCCTTGCAAATACACTTAGGAATGGAAAAAGCCATGCAACCTCACTTTAGACCACGAGCATTGTCCAACTGGACTCATTGCCTCACGCTGTAAGATAAAAAGAAAGTTAGTATCTTGCTTTGTAATTAAACAAATATTTGTTGTCCTGCACGGTAAAAGCAAAATATTTATTTTATTATATAGAGAAAAGCAATCTAGCACAAAGATACCTTATTCTGCTTCTCAAATACAGGATGACCACTCATTTGACCATGTCCACTCATTTGACCATGTCCACATCAGCATTTTTATTTCCATATTTAAACCTGCAGTACAGTTTTGAAGCGAATCCCCCAATAATCTTCATTTAATCCATCCTGCTTATATTTGCAAAGTGGCTTTAGCACTTCTCAGAAAACACTAAACTGGAAGCTGCTGCAGATGTGTTTCACATATTTGATGCACAAGGCAGCCATCATGACCTGAACCAATGAATGGGTCAACACACTATGATTTCTCCACCACAGGCACAACACATACCGGGAGACAGACGACGGACTGTCGTAAGTACCCTCCACACTGTACAAAGTTTCTCACTCACATAAAAGACCAAATGCTGTAGATGTCAGTAAGTCTGCCAACAACCACTCCTCTATTCTTGATGCTCCCCCTCTCCTATCCCTTCAAACCTTCCTCCTCATTTGAAATCCTTTCCCTTCCTACTTTAACTTCTCTTGTGGTTTTTGAAGGCCTTTTTTTTCCTAACTTGCCCTTTCCACACCTTTGGTCTACTCTTCTACATTTTCATAAAGGCAACAACAGTACACCCAAGGCTGCAAGCCAGCTTTCCAAGGGCATTCAGAATCACAGAATTGTTTAGGTGTGAAGAGATCTCTTGAAATCATCTGGTCTAATCCCTCCTGCTCAAGCAGGGTCAGCTAGAGCAGCCTGTCCTGGACTGCGCACAGTGGGGTCTTGAGTATCTCCACAGAGAGACTTCACAGCCTCTGTGTGCAGCTTTCTTGTGATGTTTGATCATCCTCACTGTAAAAAAAAAGTTAATTCTTACATTCAGATGGAATTTCATGTGCTTTAATGTGTACTCATTGAGTCTTGCCCTCTCAGTGAGCACTACTGAAGAGTCTGGTTCCTGGATTTTCATTCTCTCCCATTAGGTATTTATACACACTGATAATATCCACACACATACACACGCCCACCAAAGCCTTCTCCAAAATAAACAGTCCAGACTGCTTGCTGAGTATCTCCAAGATATTCATCCCTCTCAGCTTTCTCCCATATGAAAGATGCCTCAATAAATCTGTGTCATAAAAGAAGTGACAGCTTCTTTTGTGGCAAAGTAAGTCTGAGGAGGTTATTATGAAGCCGCTCTTGTCTGTCTGTCATCATATAATATTATGAAAGTTCCCCTTCTGAAGATCCAGGACAATTACAACATTTGAGAAGCAACACAGCAGGTGCTTTCTACTATAGACCTATCAGAAGTGTGAAACATCAGCAATCCGGTGCTGAGGCCAAGATAAAACAGCATTGAGTTTTCCTGGTACTGAAGGTAGCCGATAGCCGATTTTTGTGCTCTTGGATTTGTCCACCATTACTGGCATGATGCAGTGAGATGTGTGTTCTCTGTAGCTTATTGGGACATTGGTCCTAAGACTGCAGCCCCTAGAATAATCGAACATCACTGTTCCTGTGTTGGAGGATCAGCCGTTTTACTAGAGTATCAGGCAGGAACAAGCCAAGTGTTTCTCTCATCTAACACAAGCATTAATTGTGTAGAAAACTGTCTCAGCCAGAAAAACACTAAAGCGGGTCTCAACCAGAAGAAAACTGCCAAACATGGTCACCAGTCTTCAGCACAACCAGTAGACAGAACAGCTTCTCTGGTCACCGCACTACAGGCTCAACACAGTACCAATGAGGAATCGAGAGGTTCTGAAACAGAAGAAAATTACACAAACTAAATGCTCTAAGGAAATTTATAAATGTGTTAAAATAATTTCTCTTTAATATATGTGATGACAGAGAAACTATGGAAATAGGCAATGCTTTTCCTTTGGATAGAATTATCAACAGTATTTAGATGTCTCTGATTTTGAAGTCAATTGATATTACCTTTAGAAATCAAGTTCATCATCACAAGCACTGTATCCAGCAAGTTAGAGGGATCAGCTCAGAGAAAAGATTATTAACTTAGATTTGAAGTTACCCAAATTTCTTCTATCACTTTCAGTATTTTGTCCAATCCTTTGACTAAGGGATTTCTAGAAAGAAAATAACCTTACAGCAAACAAATTAGCACACTGTCCAATGCCTACCACTGTATGTCCCCCAACCTGGGATGTTGTAATGCCCTGTATATTATCCCAAGTCTCTCAATAAAAACTCAGAGCTGCAAATGCAAATGTACATATTTTTCTTTTATCTAGTTGCGATTTCCTGCTTTTACACAAAATTCATTCTATCTTTCCCTCCTAAACA